TCTATCCATATACCCATTGCGGCTAAACCCAAAAAATGTCACCAGATTTCAGCCATTTTTAGTTTCATTCATTACCGGTGCGATGGTGAAGAAAGTTGCTCTAAGAAAGTTGTGGGTTGAGAAATTTTCTTAGTTCATAACTTGGTGGTTCTAGAAGGGTCAAGGTTCTTCAATTAACTTGATTTTCTTCGTCTACATCCGGATCGTGTAGGATACGAATTCATACCTTCGAACAGGTTCGTATCATTGACCCAACCAAGGTCCCTGAGCTTGAGAATCACTTTCATATCCTGCTCGTCTTTGAAGTCTATTATGGTTCATCCACAGAAGAACATTAAAACCTGGATAACCTTTTTGAGATTCAGATAAATTGTTGAGATCTTGAATCTCTGATGGCTCACCTTGCAGATTGGAAGGAATCTTATCGATGACCTTTTCCAGAATTCTAAAGATTTGAAGTGGAATAGTCTAAACCTTTTTTACCATTTTCAGTAGTAATTAATAGCTGACATGTTAGTTTTTGGGTTTCGAAGATGTTACATTATGGAGCATATTATATATATCTTAAATCTTCTTAACATACATTAAGCGCTAAAGTCTTGCGTGTAAAAATTTTGTACTTATTGGTCTTTAGATTATGTGTCCTCTATTTTGGTGCTTGGTCTTGTTATAATTGCGAGCTTTCTTATGCAAGCATAACTGTTTAACCCTATTTTGATAAATTTGTTTTTGCAAGAATTAAATCAAGAGTAAGTTTGTATGAGTTTTAAATCAAGAATTAAAATTAGAGGTGAAGAATTTATATATATATAATTTGGGTGCGAGTCTGAGTAATATAAAGTAAGTTGCAGGAATATAAATCAATTATCATTCACAACTTTTTACTGAAACCATCATGATTGAGCTCTATAGTTTCGAAATATTTGGAAATGCATTACAAGACTGTCAACATTTAGAAAATGGCTTCCGATTTCCAAAATTAATCCAAAACCTGATCACCTAATCTTATAATTGAAAATAGAATCGAAACTGGACTAACCTTAGTGGATCAAATCAAAATGGGCAGTGTAATATAAATATTCTATTTTTGTTTTTACAAGAATTATTGATTGGAGAAATAGAGAAATTTTGGGGTGAAAGTTGCCTGATTTGTAGTCATTAGGCAATCAAAATAAATATTTCCCTCCATCCTACTTGAATAGTTTTAATTTTTTTCACACAATTTAAGAAAATTAGTTAACTTTGTCATAAGAGTAAATCTAATTTACTGTTTTTTTAAAATATTCTTACATTAATATTAGAAGCATAACTAATCACTATATTTTTACATTAGGGTCCTTTGAAAACATCATGTATAAGTTTCGAATTGAGAAGTAAAATTGGAAGTGGCAATATATAGCATAATGTATGATAGTAGAGTGCAGGTCTAAGGAATATAAAGCAAGTTTCAAGAATATATATTAACAATTTTTTACTGCAATCATTGCAATTGAGCTCTATTGTTTTTAGATGGCTATTAAAATCGAAGATGAGATTCACAGATGTATGGCAGCTGGAAATGAAATAAAGTTCATAGAACATTAGAAATTCCGTTCCTTGATTCATGCCTCTCCATCTCCTATCTACTATCTTGCCACATTTCACAATTTCAATTTGCATTGATATTTAAAGTCAATCTAAAACAATGAGTGGGACATATTTCAAATAATATTTCATAAACACTAGTATTTGCTAGACTTATACAACAAAGAAAGTTTTTCAACTAGTACCAACACAAGTATCTAACCCAAGAAACAGATTAAATTGAAAGTATGCTACAATAAGTAGCTCATTCCAACCTCATTAGATAAATGAAGCCCGATCAAAACCACCTAGATTAAGGACATATTGGATAACCACTAAATTGAAAAACCTGAAATACAATGAGCAATACACAGTAACCTGCATATAGAAAGTGCCTTTTAGTTGTATTGCACCATAAGGCCTGCCTCCTTACTCTGCAAAGCCAATGCCTCTGTCGAACAAAAACTCAAGACAATCAACAAGTACGAATTTGACCGTTATAGTGATCAAACAATAAGAATCAATGCATGCAAGAAGTAATTTTACCTTTATGAATATATCAAGACCTTTGTCAAACCTTACTTCAACAATCTCTCTATTATTATGAAGACATTTTACAGATTTTGGATTCTTGTTTTAAAGTAGTTGCTACGGTGACGACACAAGAAAAAGATTTTTTTTTTTTTTTTTGAAGTTAGGTATTTGATGTAGAACTGATGACCTAATATTTTATTATTTGTTAAGAAAAAATTACTATCTTATCCATTTTTTTAAAAAATAAAATAATTATTTTTATTTTTTTAAGCTCAAATAACTCAAACTCAAGTTTGACTTGCCTCGAATTTGAAGTCAAGTTCGAGGTTGAACTTTATATTGAAAACTCGTCGAGTTCAAGTTCGTGTTTGAATTTGGTAAAATTAAGTCAAGATTCAACTCAATTATGCCAAAATTCTATTCGACTTGACTCATTTATAACCCTTCTCCCTCCTCCCAAGGAAGAAGATGTTTTGAAGATATTTCGTTTGCGAGGGATGGAAAAGTTAGAGAGAATAAGATGAATAATTTTTTATGTTTTGAAAATTAAAAAAATGTTCAATTTGTGAGGGAAGGAAAATTTAAAGAGAAGGAGAAAAAAGAAAAAAAAAAAAGAGGAGGAGGAGAATAATTTTTAATGTTTTAAAAATTAACGACTTGATTTTGTATTTAAGACTGATAAGCATATGAATGCCTTGAAAAGATAAAAAAAAAAATTTTAAAAAGTAGTTAAAAAAAATTTTAAGTTTCTTGGATATTTATCTAAAATTTTACCGTAAATTACTATAGAAGTTGTAAGAAAAATTTTTAGGATGAAAAACTTTTTTCTTTATTTTTCTTTCTTTCTTTCTTTTCTTTCCTCTCTTCTTCTTCTCCCTTCCCCCTCCCCCGGCACCTCTGCCTTTGACTGGCAAAAACCAGCATCCATGGGAAAAGTTTTTTTCCCCTTTTTCTCTTCCCCTCTTCTCTCTCTCCCTCTCCCTCTCTCCTTGTTCTCCCCCATCCCCGTCGTGCTCAGCAACCATGAGAACTTTCAGCCATGGATTTTTTCTTTTGCTTTTTCTCTCCCCACTCTCTTCCCCCTTTCCCGCCACCCTCCCCCTCCCCCTCCCTCTAGTTGCGATCTGGTCGCCCAACAGTCATGGGAAAATTTCTTTTCCCTTTCTCTTTCCCTCTCTCCTTTTCCTCTCCCTTCCCTCTCGCACTCTGACGCCAGAGTAATGGAAGCCATGGATTATTTTTTTTTTAGCTTTGTCTCTCCCTTTCTCCTCTTCTCCCTCGCCACCCTTCCCCTTTCTTAGCTGCGATCTGGTTGTCCCCTTCCCCCTTCCCCTTTGCGATCTGGTCACGCAACCAGATCGTAGCTAGCGGGATGGAGAGGGTGACGGGGAAGGGAGAAGGGAAGAGGGGAAGGGAGAAGAGGAGAAGAGAGGGTGAGAGAGAGGGAGAGAAAAAAAAAAAAAAAAAAAGAGGAAGGCCGGCACTGATTCCAGTACTGAAATAGGTGACCGACGCCGGGAGTAGTGGTGGAGGTGGTGGTTGGCGACGGAGGACGTGGTGGGTTGGGTAAGGGAGGAAAAAGAAGAAAAGTTGATGGAAAATTTTTTGTGTATTAGATATTTTAAAGTGTGTAGGTTAAAAATTTTGATAAGTTTTTTGGGATTCCTATAGAAAAAGTTGTTAAAAAACTAATATCATACCAACTTACAAAAAACCTGAGGTTCCAAACAGACTAATGTTTCTAGATAAATACATAATATCATTCGACAAATTGTTGAAAGCTCGCCTTCACAGGGGTGATCCTAGGAGTATGCATCGAATTTGAAATCAGTAATTCGGAAGTTTGAATTCGGAATTTTTTGAAATTTTGATATTTGATAATTCGATCGAATTAGAATTAAAATTCGAATTCGTACCGAATTCAACTCGGAATTTGGTAAATTCCGATTTCACCGAATTCGGAAAAATATATATATTATTATATAATTTAAATTTTATTATATAATATAAAATTTATAATATTATATTATATTATATACATTTTATATAATATTACATAATATAAATTTTATATTACATGTATAAAAAATATATTTATATCTTAAAAACGAATTTGAAATTGAAATTGGAATTTCAATTTCAATTTGAAAAACTCCATTACCGGATTCGAACCAAATTCGAAATATATGAATTCGAAAAACCCGAATTCGATTTCGATTTCTGATTTATCAATTTTAAAAATTTTTAAATTTTTTAATTTTACACACCCCTAGGTGATCCAGCGGTAATCGAGCTCTTAGGGACTCTTGAGATTTTGAATTCGAATCTTACCCTGAACTTGAACTCCGGGTGAGTCACTGCGTGTGCATGTTCCGGGTGAAAAAAAAAAAAATTTGTTGAAAGCCCTACTTAAGTGAACTGGTGCTGACGTCATGTTAGACGGGAAGAGGCCCAGCTTTGGACATTCCCTGTATAGTTGGTTTCTTTTTTTTTTTGGTCAAAATTATAAAGTTGGATTCGGATTCTCCGCAATGGCACCTGCAGTGGAGACGGTTGATAGATTGACGGTCCAGATCATCCATTCTAAGTTAGATAAATCCCATGATTAATTTGTATTCAAATTAATCTCCGCAATTGCACTTGCGACATAGATCGCCAGTAGCTAGCACCATATCGTCCTCCTTCGATAAGGGGTTTAATGTTAAAAGATGGGAGGACCCTCTGAGGAGGCTCAACTTCGGCCAGGGCGACATATTCCTAACATTTTACACTGTTCATTCATGTTTGCAGCCTGGCTTATAATCATTAACCATTGTGTCAAGAACAGTGTGCTCTGAGGAGCTTCATACATTGGTTTCAGAGAATCACCTCAACCAAGTGAACTCTGAAGCAATACAACCAATCAAGAAGAGAATATATAGCAGACTCGAGCAAAGCTCAATCAATAGCAGGGTTCCCCACAATCTAAATATGCAAATAGTAGTAAAAGAAACAAAAAAATGTATCAGTTATCATCAAGAGTCCAGGATTTCTTTTGCATATTAAACATCACTTAAAAACACACCTAAACCGTACCTTTTGATCCCGAGCCATGATGGGTACACAGGAAGAGTATACAAACTAGTAGGTAGCTGACTACATGGGGCTAGGCAGAAACTACAACACATTATTTTTTAAACCTAGATTTGGGTAAAGTAATCCTAAATCCTCTCAGGTTGTGCATGGACTGTGCATCTTCATATCAAACATTAAGCAAAAATCCTGCAAAAACATGATTTGTATCAAGCATGGGGGTAATATTTACATGAGTTAAAATACTATTGCTCTATCATTAAATATACAAGCAGTACCTTCTGCCACATTATTGAAGCATCTCATCTAACCTCTGCCTATATTGGGCCAAACGCTGCAAAGAATAGGGCAAAATGTGAAGATACCACAAACATCATCAGCGCTATAATGACAGCTATTCGTGGAGTCCATTACAGATTTTAAAAATGCGAAGCAATACAAGAAATAAACTGAATCATATATAGGACACGTGCAGTGTGTGTGTGTGTGTGCACATATCACCTCTCCCTTACAAACACACATACAGAAACACACACAAAGACAAGCATCATTCTCTAATTTTCACTAAAGCACCACCATTTGGCTACTTTGATTGAATACAGCAGTTTTCTTCTGTAATCTACAAATCTAAGATCGATGTCAAACTTGATCTGCAATACCAGGTATTCAACTTACCGGCCAACCATTAGGAAACTTTATCCCACTGACTACCTCTACTGCATCTAGAGTTTGTAAGCATCTTTTATGAAAGTCCAGCACCAACACTCCATGGTAATGCATCAACTCAAACTATAAGTGAGTCTCTCCAATATTTATGTGTAACTCATTAGTCACAATTCATAGTGCATCAAGGTACATGCCCACTATATATTTCCTAAATAAAGAAAGCATAAGGATATTTATGAAAAAGCAGAAGAGCATTGATCTGCTCACGAGAAGCAAAGCAGTACCACAGGCAACAACAGCTAGAAAGGATTACCAAAATTCTATTTTAACACCAAGGTCTTCAGTCCTAGTTGGCAGTTGTCAATGTTTTTTCTTAATTGTTATTCCTTTCCATAGTTTAGCTACAATTAGCACTTTCTGTTCATTGAATACAACATGCTTTTAAATCCAATACTAAAACAGACAACCAGAACTTACTTTGTTAATCTAATTAGAGTAAAACCATCCATAAGATCTGCTAATTCCTTAAAAATCTAGATAAATGAAATTGAAAAGGTCGAAAGGGAAATTGATGAAACATCCTGGCATTTACCAAAACAAGCCATTTCTTTTTATATATCTCTCTGCTTCGACCTAATAAATCATACATATGTACATATGCACACCGAAACAAGAAAAGATATGCACATAAAAAACACACACATATGAATGTGTTCTTTTAGCCTGAACTCCTTCAAAAGAACTTTTCCAAATCCTACTTCTCTTTGTTCCTCTTATTTTTTCTACTTTTCTTTTCCATGTTCTTTCACACGCACATGCACACACACAAAAGCTGCAAATTTTGAAGATAACAGGTAAAAATGCTAAAATTCCTAATTGCACACCTTAGTATAAGCATAAACCCCCGCCTCAGTTGGTGCCACTGGACTTCCCCTTCGAATAAAGCTTCCCTCCTTGAATATGTAAAGCATGGGTATGCCAGTAGAGAGTTCCAAACTTATAACCTGAAAATGGAAAGGCAACTATTATTCTTGCTCTGAAAAATTGAAGAGAATGAACCAATCAGTTGACTCTTCACCTCTTGAGAAGTCAGCTTGTCAAGATACATGATGATTGATCTCAATGAGTTCCCATGGGCCGCAATCATTACATTTTTCCCAGACTGAAGTTGGGGTTCAATCTGCAGAATATCACTTTCAAGTCACAAAAGAATAGCTAACTATAGGATATAATTGACACAGTCTAACTGAAAGAGTACATGTTCTTGGAAGTAGGCAACGGCTCTCTCAGCACACATCTCTAAGCTCTCGCCATTTGGTGGAGGTATATCATAACTACGGCGCCACTCTTGAACTTTTGCCTTCCCATATTTATCTGCTGTTTCCTGCTTATTTAGACCCTGCAGTTCCCCATACCTGGAAGTACATACAACTCAGTATCAAACATAGGAAATGACAATGTCAACGATACATCACCACAAATGCAAATAAGTATTCTTACATCCTTTCATTCAATTGCCATGCTGTTATAACAGGAATACATTGTTTGTTGGTCTCTTCACTAAAAATTTGACTCCAAGCTCTTGCTTGCTCATTCTCTTCATGTTGAATGATTGGAACCTGCATTGAGATTGGTAAGTCCCAAAAAAAAAAAAAAAGTCAAGGACAACATCTGGATAAAAATTAATTAAAAAAGGAACTTCTTCTGTAGGAAATAAAAAAATACACCACAGATCCTAAGTCGCCCTGACTCAACTTGAGCATGGAACAAAAGCAAGCGGAAAATACATTCTTGCAAGAAGCATTCCCCAGAGATACAACCATTTAATCCTTCTTACACAATATCATCATGCAATGAGGAAACATGAAGTTTATAACTCATGCATGATACTTTCCCAACTTACCTTCTTGCGTCGGTGCTGGGTCATGGCTAGCATAGCAGTCATCTGTGCACGAATCAAAGCAGATGTATAAATCAAGTCAATAGGTATATTGCTGATTCTTTTTCCCGCTTCAATTGCCTCTTCAACACCTTTTTTTGTCAATGGAACATCAACACAGCCAGTGAACAGGTTTTTCTCATTCCACATAGACTCACCATGCCTAATCAGGATCAGAGCTGCTTCACCTGAGGAGAAACAAAGACATAAGACTAGAGATACCCCGCTTTATTTAGGTGTTAGCCAAAACTTAATCATGTCAAGAGCCAAAGATTCATTGTGACTTCCATCAATAATCATGGGATGATTACAAAAAAGTAATTATAATGCTAGAGACATTGATCATACTTGGCTTCTTCTTTGAGTCATTGGCTGTCTTGTGCAATGGAGAAGACACAGGGTCAAAGACAGTTGTTTGAGAAGTTGAGGCTTGAATTAGACTGAAACTTCTCTTTTTAGAGCAATAGTTCCCTCTTCTCATCAGGGCAATATCAACCTTGAAATCCTTTGAGATCAACTTCACTGAAGCACTTCCACACTCATGGCGAAATCCAGAACTACTCAAGCAACTGTGGGATTCAAGAGTCCCAAGAGCTTGCTGAAACACTGTGGTGGCCATCCTAAGAACAAGTGAAAATAATTAGGACTCAAACCAAGTTCAAGAAAACGAAATGAACATCAAATATCAAATTAACAAACAATGCAGGAACAAAAGAAGGATATAAACTGCAAAGGACAATCTGACAGATAGCCTAGTGGTCAATGGCCTTTTTTCCCATCCCCCTTTCTTCTTCCTTCCCAACCCTCCCTTGCTGAAGAAACACCTTCAGAAGAATCAAATAGTACCTGTTCAAATTAATTCTACCAAATTAGCGAAACTTAGTTACTCTAAACAAGATCCTATAGTAGTTATGGTTGGTTGATTTTTGGTTATTTTTCCTATAGCAAGAAAAGGGGCTAAAAGGAACATACCAGGTGGAGGAAAGGGAAAAGACTGCGAAGTTTTACCAACATGCTAAATTTTTCCAGCATAAATCAATCTGGAAATACTCATCAATCCAATTCCAACGAGAACAAAGAAAAAAAAAATTTTTGAAACAGCCTCAGATCTAAAAGAAATTCAACAACAACTAATATGAAAAATGCATGTAATAAGAAGCTCAGAAACATGTTCTGAAAAACGAATGTCAAAGAAGCAAAAGAATCTCCATACAGGGAAAAACAGAAATTAAGAAAGAACGCCACCATAAAATACTAAAATTTATTGGGTGCAAAACTCACTTGATGAAATAAGATTAGGCTATAAAAGAAGAACCCAATAAAGCTAATATCAAGATAAAACTGCAAACGATCAAGAAAAATGAATATAACCGGGATGATCTTACCTTTATAAGAAGGGCCAAGCCAGATGGAAAGAATCAATATTTGATGAATGCTACTAAAGCGTGGGTTCGGAGAAACCGAGGCAGGGAAGAAATCAAGAAACCGAAACCAAAACCAAAATAAAGTGTCCCAAAATCTTTCCTTTCCTAAATTTCCAAGATTTTTGGGTGGAAAGGAAAGTGAAAGCTTATTACAACAAGAAAAGTTGGCGGAGAAGGAGATGCAAAAAATTATCCCTTCTTACATTTGCATTTAAGCTAGAGCTCTAGTGCCATAACATAAACGCTATTGTTCTCTAAGTTTTCACACTTGTGCGCCATATTTGAATTGATTTCCAAGGTCAAGAAAGGGTATATGCTCTTGGGAGAAATCAGTTGTTATTAGAAAGGGATCACAAGATGCCAAGCAGCTTTTATTTTATTTTCACACCGACCTTTTAGGCTTTTAATCATAGTTGGCAATTTGCTGTTGGTTGTGACTAATGACGGGGAAAAGCCAGGCGCACGTGGAATTATAGTCTGTAGTCCCAAAATTCGCATACTGATTTTCTCATTCCGTCTTGGTTTTGGTAGGTATGTCATTTTCTGCGCTGCCGTGGGAGCTGTTACTCTTTCCTGCAGTATTTATTTATTTATTTTCTTTCTGGGCGGAGTTTCTCTTTCCTATTTCACTTTTTGTTCCTTTTTTCTTCGTTCCTTTCCTGTCGCCGCTTGCGGTGAGCATCATAAGCCCGCAGTTACGCAACCCTCTTTTTAAGTTTTTTTGTTCATCATATTTCATCCACAGAAACGGAAGGTCGATGTGTCCCTTGCGTAATTTTCAACTACTTCGTCCCGGTCAACGTCGGGTACATTTCCGACCCTTTCCATCATACTTCTTTTCTCTTTCAGTACAATACACCTTAGGAATAATGAGTACAAAATTTCAGTGCTCCTCGCTAAACTTCGCTGAAGCCATTTTGATAACTCAATTCAGCACTTAAATCTAATAAATTTAGATACTAATATATTCAAACTATTTAATAATAAAAAATTTAACATTTGAATTAATTAAATGACACTGAATTTTCTAAATAAAATTTGCTCTAAAAAATAAATGATCACTGAATGCGATATGCACAATTATTAACTGTTTGTACAACTTTACAATGGAGGTATGATATTCACTTATTGCTCATGTAAATTTCACATACAATATTTGCGTCTCTATCGTACGCAAGTAGTTGAAAAAGAGTCGAATGTTATTCAAAAATATGTTACATTATTTAGGAACAGTTGTAATGATAATTGTTTTTATTCTTCTTCCAATCAAATCATGGAAAGTTTCTGACCAGACCTTTCGGAGTCCTAGGGGACCTAACGGATTCAATTTTTAAGTCTCAACCATCCAACAAATTTTGTGTAGACAATACGGAACTTAGCAGCTCTTGAAAGCCCTCAAAATCCAAATTAGCACTTACCTAACTCCAAAGTCCAACCCTCGTTGCCCCCTTGTGGCTGCGCGTACCGGTCGACATCACATGCTTAATTAAGTAACGCTACCAACCTCGAAGGTGGTCTTAAGGTCCCAACAACCGCCTCTCACAATTATTGTAAAATACTCCGTGTGAAGTTTTTGAAATTCGTCGAGACGCGTGGTATTTATAGATTCAAACGTTCCGCACGGGCTTAACACTTTACAGTTACCAAGTTGAGGATGTTCAGGAGAATATACTCTCGCATATTTTTCATGGAAGAAGTTTCAAACTTTCAACCACTAGAATAGTAGGATGAATCAAAATTTGGACAAATTATTTAAGAAACCATCACGCCATGTGAAACACATGCATGCGAATGGCAATGAACATGTTGTCTAGAAAAGTTGAAGACTAGACTAATACATGGATCGCCTTTTTGACAGAAAAGTTTCAAACTTTATGTAATGCACAGCAATGAAGGAGAAGGCCAAGATGTAATTCACCACGAGTGGGATGCATGTTTTCTTGGTCTTAGCTATGATGCCTTGTTGATTCAAGACGCTTGCGAGGAGGGTATCTAATGCACCGATATAGATTCTCCGTGTCGGTGTCAAATTCGGTATCAAACCGCCATTTATCACGTGAACGTAAAGAAAACTTAAATTAATAATATATGATAATACAAATAATAGGATATTGATATAAATATAGAAATTGGCATTGAATTGCCGTTGAAAAAAGAGCACTGAGAATCCCAAATGTTAATTTAATTCTTAAATTCTAATTTTGGACACTTCATCTTATAAAACATAACATTAATTGTCAAAACTAACGAGATATAGCAGACAAGTGATGCTCTTAGAGTTTTAAGGGTCCAAAAGAAAATTATTTACCCATTAATTCTGTTGACTAATGTACAAATGACAAGATAGGGATAATCTGTCATTCCAGAATAATTCAAACTACAAGGTCATGCTCGTAGTGTAGAAAATTGTACTCAATTGCTCAACTTGACATACTACTACTGTTATTTAAGTAATTCCAAAACAAGCTGACCATGCCATGGGTGCTAACTTGAGGAAAATGCAGCTAGCACAAGCTGAAATAAGCCAATACTATTTGATTGTACGACCAGAAAAAGTCCGCGAAGTTCCGCCCTGACCATCCATCCGGATCTTAATGCACGATGACCGATTTAGGACTACAAATGAACCGAACTGCTTGCGAGTCGCTCGCGAGCAGCTCAAGTCAAGGATTGAGTTCGGACTTAAAATATTAACCTCGTTAACTCGCAAGCTAGCTCGCAAGTTCAAGTATATATATATATATTATTATTATTTTTAATAGTAATATTATATATATCCTTAATATTCTATTATTTATTAAAAAATATTATTTTATTTTTTTTTTTAAAAAATAAGATAATTATTATTTTATTTTTTCGAGCTCGAGCTCGAGTTCTTTAAATTATCAACCCGTTAAACTCGAGCTCATGTTCAGGTTCAATAAAATTAAGTCAAGATTCAGTTCGATTAGGCTAAAATTCGACTCGATTTAACTCGTTTGTAGCACTAGACCAGTCAAATACTGATGAACTGGCCAAATAAAGACTAGTTATATACTTTGGTGCCACGGGATTGGGCTTTAATATAGTTTAGCGATCATGTGCCATGTACTTATGGAGAATTTTTTTCAGACCCGCGATGCTCGATCCCTCAAGTTGTCACAACTTGGGTCCAAGGGTTGGTTTATGTAACTTTTGTATCAAAATTCATTGACCCAAAATGATTAATCGAAATTACAAAGTAACAATTGGATTTAAGGCCCTATTTGATAATTTAATTCATTGTTTAAATTTAATGGATTTAGAATTTAATATATTCAAATCGTTTGATAACTAAAAATTAAATATTTTAATTAATTAAATGACACTAAATTTCATAGGCTAAAAACATGTTCCTAAAATTAATTGATTAGCTATTCACTTATCATTGAATGTGATATGCATTCAAATATATTAGATTTAATATTTAACAATTCAACAACTCAATAAATTCAAATATCTAGATTTCAATTTTATCAAATGAACTTTAAGTATTATTTAGACCTTTTCCTTTCCTCTCCCCACTAACCTAGGGGATTCGCTCTAATACAACTAGGGGTGCAAACGAATCGAGCTGCTCGCGAGCAGCTCGGTCAATGTTCGACTCGAGCTCGGTCAATATCGAGCTCGAGTCGAGCTCGAGCGGCTCGTTTATAATACGAGTCGAGCTCGAGCCATCCGTATGAAGGCTCGTGAGCTCGCGAGCCACTCGCGAGCCGCAGGAAATTACATAAATATCCTTACTTATTTAACTAATTACTAAACTAGTAACTAGATACAATTTCTCCAAGGACTGAAGGACCAAGACAGCGGACATTGGACTGTGGACACAAACACACCTCTTCTTCTTCCCACTCGGCTGTTCCGCTGTCGGCATTCTTCTTTCCCCAAATCAAAAGCAAACCCTAGCCGCCGCTACCAGCCTACCACCGTCTTCACCACTCACCAGTCAGCCACTTCTGCCACCACCACTGCCCCGCCCTTCAATTGAAGAGCCCTTTCTCTCCGAGTCCTTCAGTACTTCAGTCCCAGTTTGTTGGCCGACGTTAGAAGCAGCTACGGTAGACATTTCATCAGCTCCGTTGGTGGAGGGCCTCGCGAACAGGTTATCCATCACTCTTCTTCCCTTATTTTATGTTTTTGTTGCTGTATAATATGCTTGGTGGTAGAATAAGTGATTGTTTCCTATCATTGAAGCCAGATCGACTTCTTCATCTCTTTCCTGTTGAGAATGTTTAGATGTAAAATTATTACTATTAATTTCCTCTTTCCTGTTAATGGCGACGGAGCTCTCGTTAGAATTAGATCGCCTCTTCCTTCCCATTTTCGTCCCCCAATTTCAATCAATTAGCGGAAAAAAAAATTTGTCTCTTCTCAGGTATTCGGTGAATTAAGTTGTACTGATTATTGATTGGAGCAAGCGTTTTTCTCAATGTACTTTTTTCTCCTTATTTTCTTTTTTTTTTTAAATTTGGATATGTTATTATTATTAGGACGGTTTCTTGAAGATTGGTAAGAATGTTGGGTTTCTTTTTTTAGCTTCTTACATACATTTTCATGGAATATACCTTCTGTTTGATTGAAATACTTTTGGTTTGTAGTTTTTGATTGTTCACTTTTTATTTTCTCATTCTGGGGTAATTTTTATCAAGTGGGTACCTGCCAACCACTATCAAAGCTTAGCTCACGGCTTTTAGGCCTTACTTGTCTCTATACAAAGCCAGAGCAAAAGGGACAAAACAATGTTTAATGTTGGGCCATGTCCAGACGTATGAATCATTTTCCCTGATTCAAACACCAATTCACTTAGCTGTGGCATGCCAAGGATGCTAAATCAATGTCTTTGTGAGGAAATTAGGTTCTGGACCTGAACTTTCTCCTTCAAAAAAAAAAAACTTCAGGAGCCGCATTATTGTCCTACTATCCACTTTTAATCAGATTTATACCATACCCTCTTGAAATGCTTAGTGTCATTCTGTGGTCCTAGACAAAGCACAGGCATTAAAAAAGTTGTTCTAAGTATCAATTGAGAGTATTTTGGTTAGGAGGTTTTCTTGTTACGACCGTTCTCATTCTTCTCTTAGTAGATGAATCATTTGTTGTGGATCTATTTCATAGTTTGCTTCACTTGGAAAATTAAACTAATTTTGTTGATAATGTCACGTATCAATTTTCTCGTTTGTTTGAGATGGCTAGACCTTTACTAACTGGGTTGGTATTGAAAAAAAATTGGAATTGATTATGTAAAAATGACATCGGTTATCTTGAGTTGATTATGTTTGTCCATTTTGCTTCAAATTGGAATTGATTATCTTGAGTTAGCTATGTTAGACTATTTTGCTTGAAGTCAAATGACTTGTTTTTGTTTCTATTGATACCTAGTGCACGGCTGTGGGCGAAAGAATCCAAGACTCGAGGCTATTGGTTGCTGGAGGACTTAATCTAGAGTGATTTCAAACTATTTGTTCCTTGTTTTTTAGTTTGTTTGAGGTGTTGGACATTTGAATTGAAAAATTGTGAAACAATTATGTATGTGGAGTTGTGGACATTTGTTTCTGATTTCATGGATGTATTATTGGACAATGAAGAATTGTTGTTACTTTTAATTCATGTTTGGAATTGTTAAATTCAAGTTTGCAAGGCATTGAATAGCTTAAAACATGCTATTGAAGCCAGGTTAAATAAAGCTGGTTATGTTTAGTGATAGAAATTTTCGAGCTGAATTCGAGCCATTTCGAGCTCTTGTCGAGTCAAGCAAATCGAGTCTTATCGAGTCGAACTCGAGCCAGCTTCTTACTTAGTCGAGTCGAGCTCGAGCTCAATTTTTTCGAGCTCGTCGAGCTCGAGCTCGAGTTCGAGCTCGAGTGTACAGTAATCGAGCCTGACTCGATAAGTTCAATGTTCGACTCGGCTCGGCTCGTTTGCACCCCTAAATACAACTATCACAATCTGGATCTAAGGACTGATTCAAGTAACTGTTTGGCCAAAATCCACTTATCCAAAATAGTTAATCCAAATTACCAAGTAATTATTGGACCTAAGTACTTAAACCTTTTCCTTTGCTTTTCCCACCACCGATATGGGATACTTCATCAAGAATCCTAAAGCATTAGCAAATCGATACTTTGAAATCATGCCATTATGGGTAGCGAGGCTGAAACGAGAACGTTCACGGCCCGGATCTGGCGTTGCAGTCATGCTCAGAGCTGCTAATTAGCTTCACATCGCATAATTCATCCGCATGATTCTCCTATATCACAATTCTGTATTTTGCAGTTGAATCTGTTATTCCTTCTTGGGGGAAAGAGGATCTTTTGGCTGTCCTTGTTTCTGCAAGCTCATAATTTTCATTTTTATTGTCGATAAAGAGTAGCAACGAATCCACGGATTGTTTTTTCTCCTGTTAAAACAAGTAAATACAAGTGTCCTTGATAATTGGGATTTCGATAAGCAACCACAAAACTACCGCAGTTGTTTAAGCGGATTGCTTCGAGCTCCTGCCTTAAAGCCTTTCGACTATTCCTTTTTTTTTTTTTTTGGGTGACAAGGGAGAGTTTACGGACTCTAGATAGCTTCAATAGGACAAAAATAACATCCGTTATATTAAAAAGAAATTTATATATATTGAATTGTAGGTGATAATACGAAGAATCAAGCAGAAGCATAAAGCAAAATTATACAATTCCCAAATCAAATTCGTTCTTCTCCGTTCGTAAATGCAAACAAGATCGCACAAACATTGGTAACTCTTTTTTTTTCTTCTTCTATGGGTTTCTTCAAGCAATTACTTACGAACAGAATCATCCACCTAAACTATACAACCGAATAAAAAGACGTTAAACATTTTACGCATCAAATAGAAAAGCAAATCCTGAATACATACTATATATACATGCAGATGAGAATCACCAGATCCCAAGAATCTTATGCTTTTGGGCAAATGCCCATTTTCCCACTAAGCTTTGCAGCAAACAAACCTTACAAATCCTTTAGGAGAAAAAGCATCATTTCGGCCATCCACACCTGAAATTTCAACTGCTCCGTGCTTCAACTTTTTCTTCTTCAAATGATGATCTTTAGGCACGGTAACAACCAACACCCCATCACTCATTGAAGCCTTGATCTGATCAACCAATGCATCTTCAGGCAACCGAAACTCCCTCTGGAAACTCCCACCACAAATCCGCTCTTTGCAGTGCCACTTATACTCACCACCCCCACCACCACCACGCTTTCGATCATCAGACTCACCAGTTTCCTGATTATCCTCATCTTTCCTGTCAGCACTTAAATGGAGAACCTGGTTGTCGTGAATTTGGACTTTCACGTCTTCTTTTGTCAGTCCCGGAAGATCAAACTTGAAAACGTGGGCTTCTGGGGTTTCCTTCCAGTCCATTGAGCAGCATGAAGACTCGGACGAGAAGGTATTCAACAGCATTGATTGCAGCGGAAATACTGACATCTTTCTATTTCCCAGAAAAATTGTACTGTTCCGGGTACTAAGAGCTGGTTTGTACAAGATTTCGATTGAGGGCTTCTCTTGCTTTGAGGATTCTTTTGCCTTACTTGATTTGGTCAGGCCTCCTACTTTATTTATAGCCAAGGTGAAGGCAATTCTTGAAATTTCTTGAGCTGTGAAGAATTATGGAGGAGAAGCTTCGATCATCATGTTGCTGACTTCTTCTGTTAGACACGAGAATTTACCAGGTGCTTCTTTCTCTGCATTATTTATTCGGGCTCTCCTTTGGGTCCAGCAACTTCCATTTCCATTCACTCCCAATGCATCATTAGCCCAAATATGTCGGGCTTCCATTGGGTATATACTATGGGCCAATCCTCCAAATTTACTTGGTCTTGTGGCTTTTTACCTCGTTTGGTAGACACTGCACAAGTAATCAGGTTCAGTTGTTGAGCCTAGTGGAGTATGACCCATAATCAACTTGAATTAATTTGTTAAAGAAAAAAAAAACACACATTATTTGTGGTTGAATTCAATTGCAAATTTGCAATTACTCAATGTAAGAGGGGCAAATTGACTGATTACGGGGGGGCTATCATCCTCGAAAGTACTGTTTGGAAGCCAGGTTTTTGGATAAGTTTTTTACCTACTAGTTTTTTAACAACTTTTGCTACAGGAATTCCAAAAAATTTCTCAAAATTTTTTACCTACACATTTAAAATATCCAAAACACAAAAAAAAAATAATAATAATTGCCTTCCCCTTCTCTTCTTCTTCTTCCTCCCCTACCCCAACCCACCACCACCTTCGTCGCCGGCCACCACCTCCGCCACCGATTCCAGCGCCGATCATCTCTTCCGGTACCGATTTTTTTTTTTTTTGCCTTTTTTTCCCTCTCCCCCTCTTCCTCCCCTGCCATCCTCCCCTCTGTCTTTTCTTGTTCTCTCTGTGTCTCCCCCATTTCTCCCCCACCACCCTTCCTCTTCCCCTCTGGCAGATCTGGTCGCTAGACCAGATCGCACGAGGGAAGGTGAGGGTGGTGGGAGAAGAGGGGAGAAGGAAAATTGCCCAAAAACAAAAAATTCATTTCGCTGCTTCATCTGCTGGCAAGAGCAAAGAGAGGAGACGGGAGGAGAAGGATAGGGACAATGTGAAAAAAAGAAAGGGGCAGAGGAAAGGTGAGAAGCGGGAAAGGGAACAGGGGAGGGGGAAAGGGCAGAGAGGGAAGGGGCAGAGGGGGTGGCGGGGAGAGAGGGGCAAGGGGCAGAGGGGCAAGAGGCAGAGGTGGTGGTGGGGGAGAGGGGAGGAAAGGGATGGTTGGCATAGAGGGGTGGCGGCCCAAGGGGGTGGTGGGCAGAGAGGGAGGAACGGGAAAGGGAGTGAGAGGGGTGGCGGGGAGAGGGGAGGAAAGGGTGGGGGAGGGAAGGGGAAAGGAGAAAGGAGAAAAGAAAAAAAAAAAAAAAAGAGAAATGGTGCTGGCAGAGGTACTGGAGGTAGGAGGTAGAGGTAACAGGGAAGGGGGAGGGGGAAGGAAGAAGAAGAAGAAAGGAAAGAAAAGAAAAAGGAAAGAAAGAAAAAAGAAAGAAAAAGAGAAAAGAATTTAAAAAAGGAAAAGGAAAAAAAAATTTCACATTACAAAAACTTCTATAAAAAAGTTTTTCACCTTACAAAAACTTCTACAAAAATTTTTCAAAAACTTCTACAGTGCACTACAGTAAAATTTTAGACAAACTCCCAAAAAACTCAAGTTCCAAACTGGCCTCAAGTTTACCAAAACCCAAACTGCTTCGTGGAGCAATACGTGATTACTTTAGATGGCGAATTCTTGACGATCCTTGGCCTTAATATTGCAAAGGGGCAGCACTCAGATTTTAGTTAGTAATCTTTTTTTTTTCTTTTGCTTAAAAATGGAAATATAATTTCTGTTCTATGTTTGGTTTACTTGAAAATTTATTCTTTGGAGAAAAGAGTTCTTAGAATTATAGATTTGGGTCTGATAAAAACTTCCTTCACATGCATTATCTTTTTTATTTTCTTTGTATCTTTTACTTTTCCAAACACCTAATAGTCAATCAACTTTAGGAAGATAGGACAAAAATGATATGAGCATCCAAATGAGATCTTTATTCCTAGGGTTTCAATGTTCCTTGTTTTTCAAGTGAAGCTTTAAATCAAGACATTAAAGATTATTGGTGATGATTCTGCCGTTCCTAGTTCAAGAAGATTAAGATGCGGATCAAAGGTTGCTATTTGGAGTCGTTTGTTTGCATTTATTTTAGTGATTGTTTTAGTTGGTTATTTTATAAGTCAAATTTGGCCAGCAATATAAGTATATTTGTAGGCCGTTAGTTTAGTAATTAGTCATTTGTTGAAGTCTTTAGTTGTTCGGAAAAATTGTTATTTGCTTGTTTCCTAATGACATTATGACTTTAAGTGTCGGCCAGCTCAAGGAAAACATAAGTCCGCGACTTTTCTTTAGTTCTTCCTAGTTTAATTAGGTTTTTGCATCTTGTAAACCCTACATAAGGGTCAACATTTACTCTAAAAATAATCAATCGAAATTTCTAGGAGTTTTTCTCTTGGTTTCTTAAAAGCGTCTCCTTGAATACTTTAGAACGAGTCTTGAGTGTTCAAATCGGCTTATTAATTCAAAGAATATATTTGAATTGTAGCGTTTTTTATCTTTAACTTTAGGTTTTTAATACGGGGGTTATTCACGGGTTGAAATTATATAAATACGTTCATAACTCCTAAAATTAATTGAGTTTGAGCTTTTTTACACTACAAACTTTGTTATCGTTCGTCTAGATCCAATGACTAGTTGAACTACGGTTTTGTCTACCGATGGAGTTTGTATCACAAATATTTAAGTAGGCCTTGCACGGCGAGATCACTTCTAAAACCCAATGCAGTGTTTATTGACTAAGCTCTCTTGGAGCTCCTACTGCAACAGATTTGCAAGCATTTCAAAATTCTGAGGAAGTACTACGAAGGTGAGAGGCATTAACGTCCATCATAGATAATTAGAGGTGTCAAAATGAATGAATTTAGATAGATTTGAACAGTCATAATTGGATAATAATATAATTAGGTCAACCAATTTATACTTAGTTTAGAAATGGGCATATGTATACCCAATTATCCATTTATGACTCACTTGAAATTTTATTTATTTTTATTTTATTTTTTTGCATGTTGTTTAACAAAAAAATAATATGTATTGTTATTAGATTAGTAAAAAATTCAAATTTATCTGCTTAACACCACTAAAAATTGAGTTTAAATGTATAATTAATTTTACATGAGTATAAATAGGTGAGACGAGCCAACCTACTACTCATCAATTAAATTGGTTTAATTAGATACTCATTTAAACCAATTTAAAGTTGATATAATTGGTTGTCAACTTGTGATTAACATCTCTATATATAATCACAGGGTGGAAGAAGTTTAATTTTTCTTTTTTTTTTTAAAAAAAAAAAGAGAAGAAATAAAAAGAAAAAGAGGAAGCACATATAACTCGATATGCGTTCAGATGAATACATGTATTAAGGCCAAAACGAAAAAAGAAAACAAAGTAAAAACCCTTAATTTGTTAATTGGGTCAATTGCGTTTATATCAGGATTTGAATACTATTGAAGGTTGTTGTCTATTTTATTTCTTAAAACGCCATCGAGGTGGCTGAGATACTTGACTGAACTGTCCAATCCAATACGTTTTCAAAACCTGGAATTGAAGTCACACGTGAGCTCAAAAAATAATTGGATTACAGAGGCAATGGCGACTTTTGACTCATTTTTAAGTGCTTTTTTATTTTTTATTTTTTGACAGAAAAGTACTTGCATTGCATTACGTCAAACTTGCAATATCTCTTCTTAAAAGCAGAATAACTACAATACGTACTAACATCATCACACTCTACAATATTTTAATTATTTTAGTATTAAATTACTTAGTGAAAAACCGATTCGAAAACCATTTTTTTATTTTGTGAAAAACCAATTTTATATAATATTTTAATTACAAAAAAGAAATATTTAGTGAAAACCCAATTTTTTACCTGATTTGATCGATGTCATTGGTTCTTGATCGGGTTTGATCAATTCATTTGACAACCTGAATTAAATACAGAACCAAACTAAAGCCATGAACCGATCCAATCCAATTTTGAAAACGTTGCATCTCAGAAATATCCTTAGCAAATGAGATGTGAGAGTGGGATCATGTTATTTTAAGTGCTTGGGTGGGCTAATTTGGCTGTTACTTTTCTCCCTAGATTTGGCTGCAATGTATTTAATGAAACATTTGCCCTAAAAGTCGGATGTCTAAATAGGATGGTATTTAGATTGATATGAAGTGCGAGAGAACTGTTGAGAACTACTCTTTTTCCGTGATTCATTCCCCCAATTTATCTTTAAGACATCAATTTCATTTGCCGGTAAACAATTAAAGTAAAAGGAGAGATAGATCATAGATGGCAATCTCTTGAAGTTATGTTTCTGCATGCACCAGGGACAGAAACTATTGATGTTGATTAATTTTTCACTCTCTAATTAATGCTTCTGTTTTCTGATTCAATCTTCAAAAATTGCTTCCTTCAGGGCTTTGATCATCAATTCATTTACTATTATCTAAACTTATACTATTAATGGTGAATGCACAATGAACTCCCAGTTGCAAGCTTCTTGTTATGACTAGCATTTGAATCTCAACTCATACTAAAACCAATAAAGATACCATACTTCGTGAAAGGGGAACTAGAATGTTTAACTAAGAGTGCAGTAAATGTTGTTAGTAGTTTGTCACTGATTTATGCATTTGGAGATTTTATCACTATACATTTTATTTAACTTAATAAGATAGTTACTTAAAATCTATTAGTTCATTTTTTTCTTTTTTAATGTAAGTGAAAAGTTTCAAATTTGAAGATCTCTGCTTCTGTCATTGTATCTCTTCATAAAAGAGCAGTTTATCAGATTTGTGACTCTTATCAAAAGAGACATGTCGCGTTTCTCCTCATTAGTGTCTGAAGAGAGTCTATAAAATCCCATTCACTATGTTATTAATAAATACTTTTCATATACTCGTTTGAGAGAGTTTTATTAAGGCTTTGTTATACTTTGAAGTTATTAAATACCGTTAGAAAAGTGAGATCACGCCTTAAAGCTATTAGTGAACTAACAGATATATAGAAGAAGTAGAAAGGAGGTGCCGTGAGACGCAGGGGAAAGTACATTAATTATGGGACTACTCTAATATCACGTCCCGCAAATTATG